TCTCCGCATCTAAGGATAGAAGCAGAGAAGGCTTCCGGGAGTTGTCCAAATTATTTATTGTATTCAGAAGTCTCCTTATATTGTCCGCAGCATATCTCCCTTTTATAAAACCTGATTGATCCGGATTTCTTAATTTAGGTAGATTAGATTCGAGTCTGTTTGCTAATAGTTTCGTAATAATCTTGTAATCATGGTCAAGAAGACTAATAGGACTAACAGGATGTTCTTGAAAAACACTTCATGAAACATAAAGGCTGTCATCCTATAAATAATGAAATTTAAAGAATATCTACTATCCTCCACATATTTATGCTCTATTGCTTTATTTTAAGCAGCCGTGTGTGTCATGAGACCAAAACTCTTTAGCAACTACACAGGCTGATTACAAGAAGGTGACAGGATCACTGTGTGATGCTGCTCATCCAGTTATCCATTAAACTACAAAAGCTTGAAACAAAGATTGTGACGATTCAAGATGACCCACATTGAGTTCTATTCATTGAACAAACAGGAACAGCTGTTGAATAGTGTGGTCCCCTTGTGACCTACATCAGCTGTATTTCACTCATGTGGTTTAGGTCATGGTGTAACACACATTAGAAATAGACCAACAGTAGATACTCTGTTTTTCTTCTGCTTGTGTTTTCATGACTTCCTCAGTGATGACGTTAATGATTAACTATGTCAACTCCAGTGGTCTGGTTCACAAGTGTTCAGAAGTGTCCTCTTTGCATTTTCATTTTCTTTCACAAACAACAAAGGTTTTTTTTTATTTAATCATTTACAGTAACAAATATGCTAAATGGTGAAGGGTTTGGAGATGAACAATTATCCTGCTGAAATCAATCATTTTCCATTTTTAGTTTCCAATATGACTTCTAATTGCATTGAACATTATGATAAAGTATATTTATGACATAAGTGCAACAAAAACACAGGTTACTACTACAGCCCCATCACTCCATTTTCTTAAAGATTGGGACATTGAGTAAATGTTTGAACATTGAAACCCCTTGTTTAATGGGGACAAAACGCCTACACTTTAAATGTTGACACTGAGACATGTCATTGCTTCTGGAAAATGATGTGCCAATTTTGAATTTGCTGCTGGCACCCCATTTAAAAAAAAGTTGGGACAGGATCATATTTACCACTCTGCTGCATCCTTTTATCTGTTAACACTTTGTAAGCATTTTTAGGAACTGATGAGACCCCTTTCTGTGATTTTGAAAGGGGATTGTTTTATTACTCGTGTCTAGTGACAGATTTCAGCTCTTCAATAGTTCAGGGTCTTGTTTGTCGTATTTGACATGTTATAATCCTCCAAACATTTTCATATGGTGTGACTTATTTTTAGAAACCTCTATACTGGTTTGTGTTTGGTTTGGGTGGTCTTTGTTTTCTCTCATTCAGGATGAGATGTCCTCACAAAGAAACAGGAATAAATGCTTGTCAGTTTCAGATTCTTACTCAGAACTGTAGAGTTCATAACATAACAGTTAGAGTTGCAGTTCTCTGCTATTTAAGGTTGTGATGAAAACACATTCAGCCCTGCTAGAGGTCTGTCTGTGGAGATAGAGAGGTTGACGTTTCAGGCTGTTGGTTCACCTTTTCTCAACTGTTTAAATGATAATTGAGCAAAGAAAATGTTCCAAGAATGTGAAGTGATTGTAGGAGTAATGACCGAGATTGTGTGATATGAAAATATTTCATTGAGTTCATTTGGTTTTAACAGCTAAATCTCATGATAGGCCTACTGCAAAATCTCTATCCTTTTAGCTACATTAATGAACAAACAAAAGCTCCAGTCGTGTTTGTGCAAACACACCGTGCCTGTAGTTCATAAGATGATTCATTACTGATTGGGGTTGATGCTACTGCTAGATTGTTATATGAGTTGAGGAGGTAATCCGAACAGTGTGATGTTAAGACACAGAGAGGGAACAGACAAGAACAAACAAAAAGAAGCCTTATGACCACTTGACCTCAGACTAATAATAGCAGAGACTTGAATGGTTGGTTTAATAACATAGAGTGCCAATGCCTTTAAAAAAAACCTGTTGCTGTGGAGAATATGATGCTGGTTGTGATCCATCAGACAAGAGCAATGACGTAACGACGTAACATTCAGACTGTATGAGAACAAAGGTTAGAGATAAAGAGACAAAAGGGGTGGTGTTGGTCAGAGCTGGTGTTCAGAGAGAAACACAGAGTCTGTCTGGGTTTGAGGAAGTCATTCGGGTGGAAATCTGACTGATACAGAAGAGATAAGGGGCAGCATCTATGCTTCCTTAACTTTAAAAAGCCATAATATCTAAAGCCCTGTTAGTGGTCTGTCTTTCTCTTTTGCTGTTGTACGTCAGTATATCTCATTTGTCATGCCATGAAGCTTACTGTGAAGATATTGTATGCACCTGCAAAGTTCTTAATATTATTCTTTCTTCATATTTCGTGTCATTCCTCTTATAGACATGAAGCCAGGGTACAAAACTCTATCCAGAGTCCGCATGGTGAAAAATCAACAGGTGTTTTATCCTAATGTCGTCATTAATATTGTGCTGTCTAATGTTTTTTTTTAATTGTAAACATTTCCATAAACTTCCATTTTCCTCCATCTGCAGGCAAGAAAAATAAATGAAACAAGCCTACTGGGAGAATCTCTTGAGACACTCCTTTGTTAGAAATGTAATCATCATCTGTTTTCATGCTGCACAATACTATTATCATGGCTGTTCACTGTTTCCTTTCTAATGGAGTTATGTTCTCTTGTGTAAAAGGTGGACAAATAGCACTTCGTGACTTTCTGAAATCAGAGTTCTGTGAGGAAAATCTGGACTTCTGGCTCGCATGTGAAGAGTTCAAAACCTTTGAAGGAGCTAAAAAAGAAAGAGCAGCATTTATGAATTGGGGCGGCAGTAGCTCAGAGAAGTCATCAACTGAGTCTTCATGTTTTGTTGTGGTACAGAGGAAAATCTACAGCCTGATGGAGAACGACCCCTTCCCTTGCTTCATTCATTCAGAGCAACTCAGATTCCAAGAGCAGCAAGGAAAAGTGTTGAGGACAAAGAGCAGAGGAGATTTAATACGGCCTGATTTAAACTCTGTCCTTCTGCAGCGTCACCTCCATCTATTGCAGAACTATACTGACATCAGGGTGATGGTGTAAAACATAGCACAGACGCAGGGTTTGTTGTTGACAGACACAGGCAGGCACTTCCCCTTAATTACCTCTAAATCCACCATATAACATCTTAATATCTGGACTGAAGACCGTCCCCGTGCAAAAGATAAAACATACTGCCATCTGGTGCACCATTTATACAGGCCATGAGTAATATTCAACCATAAAAGTTAAACTGTTCATACTCTGGTGCTTCTGCCTAAGACACACACTGTTTTGTATGAAAACCGTATTTATTGTTCATTACAAGTGAAACTATGGATCTGCATGACTATTTTGTGCATGTATTTCTTATTTCACTAATATTGACACATGATGCAGCACGACGGCAAGGAAGTAATTAACTTAATGTTGTGGATAACAAAGAATTATTATTCATTTTGAAAAATACCTCATTTACTGAATAAAGAACTTTGTCTTCACTTGTGTAATAAAAATCCATTTTATCTCTACAGTTGATGTTCTACTGCCACCCAGTGGTGATGGGGAAAGCTTCAGACCATTTTTGAGCCCCTGGACTGGACGTATTTGCAGAAAAAACAGTTTACAAAGGTTGTGTGAAATAAGTTATTTGGGTCACAATGATTGGTAACAATATATGTAAGCTAGATGAAAATCTAAGAACTGACTAATTGTTGTGCTTGTTCAACACTGAAACTCACAAATAAACATGAACAAAACATACCCAGCAGTGACACTAAATAAATACAAATTCAGTCTCTGGAAGCTGTTCATATATCATGTGTTCCTAGGGATCTTAGCAGGGGTTTCACGGGTCCCCTGTAATTTGATCCATCTCTTTATCCCAACATATAAAATAATGAGAATCAAACTATAATGTTGGTTTTCATACACCTTCACACTGGCCAGGTCCTTTTCACTTAATTCCAGAGGAGGATAGAAAGTGTTCTCTGTGAGACCTGGCTTAGGTAGAAAATGAAATGCACTTTTTGTCCTACTGTCCATTTTATCATTCTCTGAGATGTCAGCTTTTCTGTAAGTGTCAGACAGTTCAGATTTGTTTGCTATGTCGGATGAACACAGACTCACAGTGTAAGGTGTTTCAGGTCGCTCAATTTGTTGTTAATGCGTTTAATGGCGCAGGAGGACACTTTATGTTTGATTTATTGAAGTTATATATTTAACGAGTGTTAAAACTGATTTCATATTTGGTCTGTCACTATTTGACGTTAACTGTATGTACAGTGTATCTTTTCTTTTTTTTTTCCTTCGTTAAATGCTCTTGTTCGTTATGTTTGACAGTGTTTTGTTAGCCAATGTGGGCTGGGCACACTTTGGTGTATGGCACATTAAAATAAATAAAATAAAATAAAAAATAAAAATAAATCCATGTTACAAAATGTTATCAACTTATGGTCTGTGCTATAATTTGTGGCAGTATAGGGGTCCATTACTAGAAAACCTTGAAAAGCAACGCTGTATCAGGGGAGAATATCTCTTTAAAAATAAGTATTTACAGTGCTGCTTGCAGATGCACTGTAAAGTAACCTTATAGCAAATTGGAGCTTTTGAGTGAGAAGAGCTATATGAGTATAGTTTTACGACCATAAGCATAATGCTGAGAGAAATGTTATTACGGACAAATGTGGCAAAAAAAGAGGAGCATCTTATGAGCTGCTGTGTTGATACTTTGGTACTCTGTATCCCAGCATCCACTGCGGCCCCGCCCCTATCTCCCTGACGGTCAGAGCGGAGGGGAGGAGGCCTCTTTGTGGTCCAGCCACATTAAACACTTCAGTACTGTGTACATTTTTTTTTGTTGTTGTTGTTGTTGTTGCGGTAAGTTAATGAGTCATCGTGTATTTTTAAGCGAAATGTTATAATTGAAAGACACTTTGTGTTCAGAGTAAACTCAGAGCAGCTTAGTTCAGGTTAGCTCAGCTCCTGGTCATCCCAGGCGAGCTGCATCAAGCCGCCTCGCTAGCTGAGCTTTCCCCGGGTGTCCGGCTGGGAAAAAGCTCGGATGTGTGACTTTGTAGTTTACAACGTGAGACAGGGGATCTCAGAGACAAACATAACACTCCCTGAGAAACGTGTGGACTGACTTAAGCTAGGATATACTCACCATGAATATCATGTTATTAAGTCTTGCTGAGGCTTTTGGCTAACGATGCCTAACTTCGCATTTCCAACACTGCTCTCCTCCGCTAGCTCATCTCACTTAGCTCACTTTAATTAGTAACGTTAGCTCACTGCAGGTTGAAGTGGAAGTAACCAGGTGAGATCGATGGATTTTCGGCATTTGACAATGTGTGCACAGTTGTCTGCCATCCTGTATTGCCATCTCAGTGTGGCTTGCATCTCTCTCATGTGTTCTCATCATGTCTTGTAATCGGCTTTAAGTTATTTTCGTCCGTGCACTGAGGCATACTGAGTAAGTATTGTTGCTAACTAAGTCATCGTTATGTTGTTTTTATGGAGGATCTCTCTCGACAGTAGTTCTGGAGCTCAAACTAAGGATGTATGGGGTCAGGTTGGGGTTTTGGAAAGTTGCACTGCTTTTTTCTTCCAGTTTACATCTTTTGTCAAACCAGAATCATGAATGGGAAATGAACTCTGACATCAAATCTGACATGTTTACCTTTATGAGCTGTGCACTTCTAGTCAACTGATTGTTTTGATGAGATTTGTGTTTCTTCACGGTGGACAGTGAATATTATCAATCTATTCTAGAAATGTAACCTTTAAGCAATCAGAAATCTTGCTGACTTTTACTTTGAAGTCAAACAATGGTAAGTTCAAGTTTTCGAAAGAGGGGTCAATACTTTACTTAGTTAAAAAAAAAAAAAAAAAGATTTGACGAATCAATTAAAACTATTTTTGTTGTAGCTCTTGTAAATTCCCTTTCACTGCTTTTGTTTCAGGCCTTCTGTAGTTTGCAATGGAGCCATCGGGAAGTACTAAAATATCTCCATCAAGCAACCACACCCAAAACTCAACAGGTGGTGGTGGCTGTCCATGGGAGGTCACCGACAAGGCCAGACTGTGCCGTTTCCTCTGCTACGGCTCTGAGGGCGATGCATACACAGCCAGAGAGGAGGGGCAGGTCAGCATGGAGGGTGCAGGAGCTCTGCTCTCCCTGCTGCAGGACGGCCGGGGTGCTGAGGTGGTTGAGGAGATAAAAAGGTTCAGCCAGGATGGACATGCTGTCAGACCTGGCCCCACCTTTTTCGCCTTGGCTTTGTGCTCCCAGCACTCGGAGCTGAAGACAAGACAGGCGGCCTTCAAAGCTGTGAAGGAAGTTTGTCGGGACCCTGCCCACCTGTTCTCTTTCATCCAGAACAAGAAGGAATTGAAGGAGGGTATGAAGTGTGGGATTTGGGGACGTGCCCTGAGGAAAGCAGTGTCTGATTGGTACAATGAGCAGGACGCCATGAGTCTGGCTGCGGCTGTGACCAAATGTAAACAGAGAGAGGGATGGACGCACCAGGATCTGCTCAGGCTCTCTCACACCAAACCAGCCAATGAAGGTGAGTTTACACATAGCCACAATATATACAGCCTCTTACAAGGTTAGGTTTACGTATTATTGTTTTTACATTACAATATCCATGTCGTGCAGTATAGAATTTGTAAAGGCAGTTTGAAAAATCTCTTGTTTGCTCGATGATTTAAATTCATCGGAGGTGAATTAAGTCATCATGTTCGTCAGGGACACAGGTAGTCATAACTGCGAATCATGAAGGAAGTTCATTGAAACACCAACTTGTTCTATGTGTAAGCATTGATCGAGAGCAGACAGGAACAGTTTGTCTGATTTTGATAATTGATTTAAAAGGTGGCATGGTCACGAATCAAGGGAAGGGAAAATAATAAAATGTCATAAGGATAAAACTCCAGAATCCCATTAAGTGTGTTTTAAAAAAAAGCTGACATAACCACAGTGCTAACCAACATCTTAATCACTGCGTTGCTACTATGTTGAAACATTGTGGTTCTTTTGAATAAAAACATCTTCAGTCAGACTGTAATGGCCGTGCATTTGTGTTTGCAGCTATCGCCTTGATCAGCAAATATGTAACAAAAGGGTGGAAAGAAGTCCAGGCTGCTTACTCGGACAAAGAGAACTCTGAGGAGGTGGTCAAAGTGCTTCTGTATCTGGAAGTAGTGGAGAAGGTCAAGCACAGTTGTGATGAAACAGAGGTCATCAATTTAATAGAGGAACATAAACTGGAGAGGGAACAGTTGCTGACAGAACACCTGAAGTCCAAACAGGTGAGTGTTTTGCACAGCTTGACCACTATATATACCATAAGTTGATAAGAAAACAGCTGAGTGGACGTTAGTCTAGTCTGGAATTGGTTCACAATAAATAAAATCTTTACCAATCCTTGATAAAGTTATTTGTTTAAGGAAGCAGCCGTCTGAGGGCCTTTTCGGTCATGTTGATGCAAAATCAGTTCACAGTCCATGTAAGAAAAGGCCTATATTCCCTTAAAGGTCACATATTATTCTCTTCTTCAACCAGTTTAAATAAGTCTGAGGTTCCCAAAACATGTCTGTAAAACAATCCTTACCCAAAATCCACTCTGATCCTGTATTTGATCATGCCTATAAACTCCTCTATTTCAACCCTGCTCAGAACGGACTGTTTCTGTGTCTGACCACGCCCCTCTGGAATGGCTTGGGCTTTCTCGCACCTTAGGGCAGAATAAACACCTAGCTATGGGAGAGTCACTCACCTGGGGGAGGGGTTACTGCCCTTTGTGATGTCATGAGGGGAAAAATTCAAACAGCCTGTTTGAGCACACATTTTCTGAAAAGTGGAGCAGGTAAAAGACGGAGAGGATGGACTATTCTCCTAATGGGAGGTTTGTAGAAAGGCTAAGGACACATTAGTGTTAGAAATACATATTAAAGTGTATTTTGCATAATATGAGACATTTAAACTCATGTATCGTCTCTCACAAGTGATGTTGTTGTTGTGTGTTAAATTGGAATTTAATCATGGCAATTATATTATTTTCTTTACTTTTGCTTTGTCGTCTTAAAATGCTGTATATCATTTCAAGAATAACTGAACTGCATTTCTCTGCAGACTTTACAAAGAAAGAAATCATGACTACTGGCCCGGGCAAGTCTTCAGTTGGGCAGCCAAAGATGTTTAACTGTAGCACTTGGCATTATGGAATGAATCTCATAGAGATATATCTGTTTAATTGTTTTGAGGTATGGAGGTCTTTGTTGAAGGAAATGCCTCTCCAGTCAGTGCTAAGGATCTTGGGTAAGATGACGTCGAACAAAGTGCTTGAACCTGGAAGTTCAGAAGTGCAAGCTGTGTGCGACAGAATCCAGAGTGAGACGGAACTAAAGAAGGTAGGACTCGGAGATCAGAACCACGAGTTTACATTTGTTCTTGAAATGTAACTTGACTCAGTCTACAGTATTGTATGTTTTGTCCTGAAATAACCAGGCACAGCTCCATCCTTTCAGCATCCTTTTGACTTCCGAAAACTACAAAAGAGGCCAAGGCTTTCAGGGTAAGACAAAGTGGGAACCAGACAGCAGCATCCTCAAAGCAATGGACTCTGCTTTTTACAAGAGTTTCATGGTAGGTTCTTTCTCTTTTCCTAGATTCTCACAAAACATTAAATAAGAAAGAAAACATCACATCGGCGTACTCTCTTCACCTCTTGTTATTTTTTCTATTCTGTCCTCAGAATGTGGAGCCTCTGGGTAAACGCTTCGTAGTGGCAGTAGACGTGAGCACATCACTGAGCAGCATTGTCCCCGGGACGTCGATCAGTACTGCTGTCGCCGCTGCAGCTATTGCTATGGTAAGGCGAGACAAATAGACAGTGTGGCTAATAATTGCTTCGGCTTGAACAGCTGCTTGAGCGGCTCTATCTTTGGAGGGAGTAGAGATCAAGGAATTTGTCTCTTGATACGTACTGTGGATTCCTGCAGGGGGAATTAGCTGAGAGTCATCCCAATGATGATTCATAGATTTCGGGGGCTCGGTCATACTTCTGATGCATTGTGTGCGTTTACATGTGGGAAAGATCATTTGTTTTTTTCTAACAATGCTTTTCATTTTTGGCCCTTGTGTCTTTTGCAGATCTTTGCAAGGACAGAGGCAGACACAGATGTGCTGGCTTACTCTGAAGGAGCTGTGGTTCCATGCTCCTTCTCTGCTGACATGACTCTCTCACAGGCAACAGTCGAGCTGGTTAAGGTAAGGCATGCCACAGCACCAAGGACTACTTAATCAGTTCTAATTTAAGATCACTGTGATATGTATATGTATGTTTAAAACAAGGAATTTAACCATCTGTGATAACACACTATCACCAGCTGTTCCTCACATAAAGGGCAGTTTAGTAGCATTATTATTATAGCACCGATTCTGATTCTGATTAACCTCGGTTAATTATGATCTATCCACCATTCCATGTTCCAGATCCCGAGCGGGAGCACAGACTGCACCCTTCCCATCGCATGGGCCACAGAGAACGGGAAAGCAGTAGATGTTTTCATCATTCTGACAAACAACCCATTGTGGATGTTTACTGCCAGCCCCGTGGAGACTCTAAAGAAGCATCGACAAGTATATTCATCAATTCATGTCTGCTTAGGGAGGGGATCTTTTTATTGCATCATGTCAAATGTGATACATTTTCAAATAATTTAAACATGTTTAATGTGACACTAATGATTGTTGGACCTTGTCAAAGCGTCATTTCTCTCACTGTTAAGACATATGTACATGTGGTTGAACTTGATCAACACGGACAAACTCCGGCAAGTGTGATGAGGTTGCTTTTCTAGTTTCAAGTAATGCTTAACCTGTTTTCTAACGGCAAGATGACATTTCACTAGTATAAAGTTTATTCTTTCAATTCACATGATTCATCTTGTCATTTCACTCATTTGGAGTAACATAATTAGACCCGAGCACGTTCCTTCAAAAACATGAATGTTTAAGCTATGAAACACATGCTAGTCTTTCTAATCAAGTGTTAATACCTCACACTTTGACTGTGCTTCTTCAGTGAGGCACTCAGCTGCTCCCTTTGATCTTGTTTATTTTTTACATAAAAGAAAAAGTGTTTAATTAGTGCCCCACTAAGCCTCGTCGGTAGCAGAAGAATTAATGAACAATCTATTTTTATATAAATATAAGAGTACTTACAAGTGATTTGTCCGTTCAAAGATCAATTAAAACAACAATTTATGATTGTATTTTGTGTTTGCTGTCTCGACAGAAATCAGGAGCTAATTCCAAGTTGGTGATGTGTGGACTTACTTCAATTGGACATGGTATCGCTGACACAGAAGACAGGGGTTTGCTGAGCGTCTGTGGCTTTGACCTTGGAGCTCTGAGCGTCATTCGTAACCTAGCCCAAGATCTGATCTGACTAGTGCTGGGACTTTTGGGACTCAACTGTCTCTGAGTCATGACTTTAGAGTACAAAAAGACACCAAGTGGACCAGGGTGGCTCACTTAGCGAGTAGAGGGCCCTAAAACAGCACTAATCCAAAAGATGTTGACATTAACATTTTCAATTTCTCCTTTTGTATGATGTCGCATACAGGTCAACTGACAAAGTGTCCAGCAGGCTGGACAACACTCTGGAGAAGATATTTCTTCTTTTTAAATGCTGAAATATGAAAAGAAAGTCATAAGAAATGACATGTCCCTGCATGTCATGCTGGCAGGTGTAGTGCACAAAAGCTTCCTGTGTGACGGGCTGTTTACCTCTGATGGGTTTCGGTGAGCCAAGAATCTTTACGACAATAATTCCGCCACTTACAAAAATATGTGGCCAAATAAAGGAAGAGGAACACTGTAAGAGTCTGAATGTTAGAAGTGAGTTCAACTATAGGGTTATTTTAAGAGCAATTACTTTAGTTTCTTAGTATGTTTCCACGGTATGATTTAGCAGGTCTGACGGGATGGTTCAGGTTTGTCCCTCTTTTATGTAGCATAAAGGCTAAACGGATCTAATGTCAAGAAAGCACCAAAAGCATAAAAACTGCAATGTGTTCTGCCATTTTTGAGTTTTTAAAAATCTTTCCACTTTCATTTACAAAAGTCTGGCCTTTGTCAAGCGTCAGTTTTAGTTGTGCTGACATCTGTTTTCCCCCCGAGGTCAAATTAATTAAAAAACTTAGTTCTGCTCTTGTCAAACTGACTCTTTCAAAGGATACGCCCTTGGTGCTCTTAAACATGATCTGTTTTTGCAGGAATATTTGGGATATTTTGATCAGTTTACTGTAAGTTGGAGACACATTTGTATTTGACTATAATGCTGAGGAAGGAGCGAATCATAGCTATTTAACTACTGTTTACCAAGACTGATACTGTTAGCACAGTAATGTTTCTGTATGTTTTATGTAAGGATGTTGATTATGCAAAAACTAACTAATTATTGCAACCTTGCTGTAATAAAATGGATTGAATGTACGTTAGTTAAAACATGTCGGGGTTTAAAGTAGAATGCTTTATATTCTTCTGACACAGTGCACAGAGTTTAGGGTCTGAATTTGTGGAAAGGCAAACAACTACAGTGATGCTTCTTGTTTTGGTCCACAGCATCACTAATCAATCATTCTGGTCTAATTCACTTCTTATGAAGACAATTTTCTGACCATATTACTGTGAGGAAGTCACCCCCCCCCCCTACACACACATACACACACATGCACACACATGCACACACATGCTGACACTGACACATTCAGAGTTGAGACAATGTCCACTGCGTCTTGTTTGAAGGTCAAAATGCTACTAGGCAAAAAATATTTGTATAAAATTGTGATTTGATACATTTTAAGTTGAAAGTCTGACATAAGAGTTAGTAATTATGAGGTTTGTCGACAAGTGTTTATCACCGTGATTAACTTCTTTTCTGTCATCTTTGTCTGATGTATCCACTTGTGTAACTTCCAAGTACTTGACTGTAGTGGCAATGTAAACCCCCAATAAACAATCTGCTGCTTTTTATTTTGTATTGTATTCATTACTTGTTGCTTGAGTTAAAATCACACTAAGCATGTCTGTCCTTTAAAAGTGTTCTTGAGCAAGGCACTCAACTTAAAACAATCATTTGTGACAGTGGCAGGAAGAAATTAACTACACATTTAGGGATTTAATTTATCAACCTAGCAAACACTTAGAAAACGAATCAATTGGCTGCTTTAACAATAATACAACAACAACAACAACAACAACAAAAACTGGAGGAGACTTTTTTTTTTTACATTAGTTTAATACCAAATAAAAGTTTGATTCAGGTCAGGCATGTTGCGAGTCCGCTTCGTATTGATATCTGGGGGCCTTGCAGACGCACTACATCAAGACAAGTGAAGATGGCGGATGTGTTGAGTGTTCTCCGTCAGTACAACATCCAGAAAAAAGAGATCGTCGCTAAAGGAGATGAAGTTATATTCGGGGAGTTTTCCTGGCCGAAAAATGTCAAGACCAACTACATAATCTGGGGGTATGTCAGCGCTAAACCCTGTTTTTAATGCCTCTGTGGGCCCTCCGCTGGAGCTCATCGGTCCCTTGTGGAGCTGGTAGCCGCGGAAGGCTAGTGAGATGCTACATGCTAACCTAACTCTGCCTGCTGTTAAACTTCAACCACTGTTTTTGGTTACTTTAGTGCCACACGGAAATACGGTGCCCTTACCCATGGGGCTTCTTTGCTAGTCTAAATCCATTTCTATTTATCTATTTTTCAAAACTTAAACTATATTCGTGAGAGAAATAGCTACAGCTGCTGAAGTAATGTGATGCTAACCAGTTAGCGACGGGAGCTAGTGTTTAGTTGTGGTGCCATGGAGTTGGACATTTAAGCACAGCTACTTTAGTGCTTCACTTTATGTACAATAATAAAGACAAACATTTTATTGTATTCTTGGCAAGACAAACTTTGCGTCTGTAGCGGTGAAAGTTAAATTGCATTCAGAGAAGTTGATCAGCTAACTGTTGATAGTTTTTAATTTCAGAAGCAGATTAAAGCCTCTTTATTATCTGTTCATTATTTCTTACAGTAATGAGCAACTAACATAAACTTAAATGTACCACCTGCAACAGTGTGTCTACTTTTACTTAGTCAAATGCAATGATTGCAAACTTAACTTTGTGATGTTTGTGATTTTCTTTGCCTTTGTTTCCTCCAACAGAACTGGTAAAGAGGGCCAGCCCAAAGAGTATTACACTTTGGACTCTATCTTGTTCTTACTCAACAATGTGCATCTTCCGCATCCATCCTATGTGCGAAGAGCTGCAGTAAGTACCCTGGATTACCTGCCAATACTGCCTTCACCTGTCAGTGCCAGGACTTCCAGAATAATCCCGTGCTATTCCAGTCTCTTTCATCAATTGAAATGAATCACAGTTTTCTTCCTGAGGATATTTTTGACATATTTGTATGTTTATTTTTCAGACAGAGAACATCCCTGTTGTCAGGCGACCTGATCGAAAAGGATTGCTGTCGTATCTCAATGGAGAGAGTTGTAAGTATATATAGTTTATGATGTAGTTTGGTCAACATTTGTTGTGTTGGTATTTTCTTGTCATTGTGGTTATACGTACAGTTGTACACGTGTGAACCACCAACCTGCAAGATGAAAATAATCCTATGGCTACAATGTTTGTTATTCACTAGGGCCCGGTCGGTATGAGATTTTTGGGGCCGATACTGATATCATCGATATTGGGGAGAGAAAAAAATGTGATACTGATATATCCGCTTATAACTTTCTTAGATCTGTGTTTGATCTGTAGAGATAGATAGATATAGAAATACACATTTATTGTGTTGGTCCCTCAAATGCAGTGGGATCCCATCAAACACTTGTGGAAAATATATATTATGAAGACAAGATGGTCACTCAACTGGAAAGTAACTGTGTATGTATGTGCATCATCGCTCGACACTCTGGAGAGTGATAAAGCTTGTTGTTGGTGATAGCCACAGAGAGAACTGATAGTTTAATACATTGATACTCAAATGAAATGTTATTTGACTAGTGAATAAATTTAATAATATCGGCACATCTGTGATGAAATGAGCAGATACCGGTAGTGACTGGCTATGCTGATATCGCCGATATTATCGGCTGACCGATTAATAAATTGGGCTCTATTTACATGTTTATGTTCATTAACGTGCAATGTCTCTATTTAAGACGGCTAGCTGATAAGAGGTCTGATATTTCCAGTGAGGACAATTTATTTGTTACACTGTTTTATCTGCTGTCTGTTATCGAGATTTTAGTCAATATGTGCAAATCTAATTTTGACAACAGCGGAGCAGAGATAGCGTCCTCCTTGACCTTTGACCCCAGGTTGGGAACCAGTGATCTACTTCTGTCTGTTAACGCTGTTTTCTAATCTTTTCTTTCACAGCGACATCGACAAGCATCGACAGAAGTGCACCTATAGAAATAGGTTTGCAGAGGCCAACCCAAGGCAAGTTCACACCATGCTTCTTAAATTTGAACTACTTCTATGGACATCATGTACTTCATTATGAGCATAGTATGTTGTAAAAACAACTTTTGTATCATGCTGATATTGATCACATACTTTAAATTCATTTTGTTGTTTTTCTGTCGGTGAAGTGGGTTTAAAAAAATCCACTCAGTAAAATAATGACACTGTTCTGCTTTTTTAGTGAAAAGAGCAGCGGATGAAGTTTCTTCTGAAGCCAAAAAACCAAGAATCGAGGTAAATTGGTATCATTTCTCTTGTGTTCATGTTTTGTAGTGTAACTGGTGAGCATTCCCTCCTACGGTATAAATCTCTTCTCTGCAAGCAGGAGCAGTTATAGGAGTTTAACACTGTCACTGTCAAGGTTTTGGGGATTATTGGTTAAAAGATCAATAATCTATAACTTCCACAATTGTCATCACTTTTAAATGTGACCAAAGGGAGACATTTTCCAACTTCCCAATTCCTGGCAAGGAGTCTTAGCCTAGACGTATTTTAGGAACACTCAGCAACTCTGAGCAAGGAATGGACAGAAACGTTTATCTTAGTGAGGAGGCGTGGTTGACCCTGTTGCTAGGTACCTTTTGTCAGAAGCTGTGATTGGTTGAGCCAACAAAATGGAAAAAAAAAAGTAAATGATAGAATCCAGTCAGAAATTTTGCAATTATAAACACTATGAAATTAGCATCTATGTGATAATTTGTGAGATGTACTTTAAAAGTATATAGCCTACAAAATGTTTGAAATCACATGCCCACTTGTTCAGCAGCTTGTTCACATGCTGGTCTTATATCAGCAGGTAAAAGCTTTTAATTAGTGATTGGATCCACCTGTGGAGGTGACCGCATGTAGAGTAACTCAACATGCATGTCTCACTTTGTCCTGAAAAAAGTCATAGATGAATTGAAATGTCTGCACGAATCGTTTTAGTCTGTTCAGCCAAACTATGAGTCAGAAATAATATTTATTATTCAGTGTTTGGAGAACATTTCTTAATTTTTTCCTCTGCTTGAGAAACTCTTAAACCTGTTAAAAGTCCTCCTCACTACTCCTAACAGTTATACACCTTAGGAGCTCTCTTAAGGGCTATCTAGTGTTAACTTTGAGGGAAAATTCTTAGAAAATGTCCTGATTCTAAGAATTTTCTTAGAATTTTGTTTTAGTACTTAGTAGGCTTTGTGAATACAGCCCCTGGTGTTTGACAGTGACATTTGGTCCAGGATCTTTAAACACATCAATAACTGACCAAAACTAAAAGTGTCTGTTTTGTTCGAGGTTGAAAGAATGTGAGGGTCAGTGTGTAGTCAGAGAAATAGTCAAAGCTCCATTAGTGCGCCCTCCTCGGAGACTTTGTTGTCATGGAGGCATTTTAAACTAACATCTTGAAGGCCATTGAAGCTACAAAGCAAACGTTTGTGTAAAATACAGTCAGAGAAAAATACAATAGTTTGTTTTTAAACTTTTGTGAATACAGCACTTACAGGGGTGATAGTAGACACTCTGCATCAAACTGAAAACACTGAAATTCAAGGACCGGATCGACTTTAAAAGCATCCCAATCATGTCCTAAGTTAAAAATGAACAGTTACTGAACAGTATCCAAAGGTTTTTTCAGCAGAGGGAAAGTAAACACAATCTCCGAGGAATATTTATGTTAAAATAATCAGCAGTAAGGACCAACCTGAAACTACAATGTATCACAAGTAGGGTGTTAATTTATGGAACAGCTGCAGTGAAGAAATGAAAACATGTCAAACATTAGGAAAGTTTCAACACATTTTCAAAATAACATATTTAACAAAAATATAATTGAAGAGTCGATGAGAAAAATGGAATCAATATAAGTTGTAAGTTCTGTACCGTCTACCAATGTGTGTAATACATCATATTTGTTGCTTTTGTTACTTAGGTAGTTATTTGTGTTCTTTGACTTTCCATCACCCCTTTGCAACATCAAAAATCAAGCTACTACAGAAAGTAGTGTACCGCCCACTTTTTTATGGCTAATAATCAAATCCGCTATGCGAAAAATGAACAGGATTTTTACTTCTGGCACCACACTGTTGAGCGCTATTGTTGTTTGCTTTGTTTTTAATGTATATTTTTTTATTTTAAAATATGTTCTAAATAAATAAATGAAATGACATCTGTTACAACATGTTATTTCATTCTGAAGCTCACATGTGGTGTGTTCACTGTTTTCTTAAGGATGAGGAGCGGGTGCGTCTGGATAAGGAGCGTCTGGCTGCCCGTCTGGAGGGCCATAAAGAGGGCATCGTGCAGACGGACCAGATCAGGTATAGTTTAATTTACCCAAAGTCATCTGTACATAATGTTGCATAATAAGTCACAACCTCTTAAATATATATTACTTCACCTCTACAGTTAGCTACAACTTTAATAGAAAAACTGATGTGCAGCATTAATAAGACAAATATTCTAAAGGCTCTTGGTGTAAAAATCTATTTCCCTTCTTCCAGGTCTCTGTCTGAGGCCATGTCAGTGGA